TGTTGTAAGTGTTAGTTTTTTAAAGTGTGCCCTAAATGTTTAATATTTAAGTATTTTTATCCGATTTGTGTGAACTCTACTGGTCATTGCACTAGACCGAATCGACCAGTAGAGCATCCCCCATCTTAACTAGCCTCTTATTCCTCTTTCCATTCTATAGATAATAATTTGATCAGTTCCTTCATAGTCGTTGCCGCCGTCGTTAACACTGTGTCACTACTGCCGCCGGCCATTATCACGGAGTCATCCAACTGTCCATTAGATTGCCTACACAAACGACACTCTGCGTAAAAGTGCCTACACACGACACCGTAAAATATTTATAAAATCGAGTAATTTTCTACTTTTTATTTTTTTCTAAATTATACAATTACGTAAACAACTAATTAAATAACTTAACTTATTAACTTAACTTAGAAATTAACGTATTATTTTTTCGTTTATCCCAATTAAATTAATTTTTTTTTATTTATTAATTTAATTGTGTCAATATACCAAGTAATTTTACAATGTCATTTAAATTTACAATTTACGATTATTTGTTTACAAAGTATTTACAATTTTTACAAATTTTTGGTTAGTTTATATGTCTAGATTCATGTCTGAATCTAAGGTGTCTTCTTTGGGTTCAAGTAGTATATCCTGTGGTAGCCGTGGTTTTAATTTTAGGTTGACGGATCTTTTGCCAATTTTATAATGGAGTGCTCCGTTGGCTTTGTGAAGTTTTTCGTGGAAATTTTAAATTGTTGCGTTATCCATGCTGATAGGTATAGTAGGCCCGTATCGTTGTGTAGTTGTTTGTTCCTCATGAACCATGGGACCATTAGGGAAATTTTTAAAAATTTATTTTGGAGAGTTTGAAGTTTTTTTTTATTTTTGTTTGTGAAGCTGTTGTCCATACCGGACATGCGTAGGTTATAAGTGGTATTTTTACTGCTGTATATAGGAGTAGAGAGCATTTCATCTGTATAGTTGAGTTGTGGTTTAGTAGGGGGTATAGTATTCTCAGCTTAGTATATCCTTGGTTCAGTTTTTTATTAATATGTATTTTCCAGCTTAGTTTTTCATCCAGGTTTAGTCTTAGATATTTCACTGAGTTATCTTTGTTGTTCCATTGTATTTCCTGGTTGATAATTTGTATTAAGGTCGGGTTCATGTATTTTTTTAGGGTAAATATTTTTACTTTTCTTTTAGTTGGATTTAGTGTTAGTTTCCATCTTGAGAACCATAAGGATAATTCGTCTGGGGAGTTTTATAAATCTTTTATTAAAGATTCGAGGGCTTGGCTTTGTGTTATTATTGTTGTGTCATCTGCAAATATTGCTAGTTGACATTGTTGTGGCGTTGGTATATCGTAGCAGTATATGTTAAATAACGATGATCCAAGCACTGAACCTTGTGGCACGCCCGCCTTTATTCTTTGTATTTGTGATAGGTCTGTTCCTATTCTGACAGTAACGATTTTTTATAAATGATGATAGTATATTATAGAGGTATATTGATAGGTATAGGGTTTTTATTTTTGTGATTAGTCCAGTGTGCCAGACCTTATCGAATATCTGCGATATGTCTAGAAAGGCTGCCGTGGTAAATTTTTTATTTTCGTAGCCATTTACAATGATTTCAGAGATCCTTTGTAGTTGGTGGGTTGTTGAGTGAAACGGTTTGAATCCAAATTGGTGTGGTGGAATAATTTTTAGGTGTAGTTTAATTTTGTATAACAAGACTCTTTCCAAGAGTTTTGAGAGGGTTTGAAGTAGACTTATTGGTCTGTAACTTTTGGGTGAACTATTTGGTTTTCCGGGTTTGTGAATTGGAATAATAATTGCTATTTTCCATGAGTCGGGAAAAAAAGCTTAGCCTCATAGAGGAATTCATGAGACTAGCTATGTATGATAGTGATTTTGAAGTGAGATTTTTGAATATTTTATTTGTAATAAGATCGTAGCCTGAGCTTTTTTTATTAGTTAGGTTGTTTATTATCTGTTGTATTTCCTTAGGAGAGCATGGTTTTATGGAATTGGTTATTGGTGAATTTTCATTGCTTCTCTTCTCAGGATTTGTTTCTTCACTTAGGTTTGTACTGGTTTCATCTATTGTAAAACAGTTTTTAAAATGTTGAGCAAAAATTTCACATTTTTCAATGTTAGTTTTATATTTGGCTAAACCATTTTTTAGTGAGAGAATTGTTTCGCGTTGTTTGGTGATTCTTTTGGTAGCTATCCATAGGCTTGAGTCATTAGGGTTTATTTTTGATAGATATGATTGGTATGAACTAAATCTTAGGTTATCTAATTCCTATTTTACTCTTCTTGTTAGTTGATTTAAACGTTTTTTAACTGTTGGAGATCGATGTTTTTGCCATATTCTACGTGCCTTGTATTTTTCTTTGATTAGATTTTTTATATAGGATGGTATTGATGTGTTATTTTTATGAGCTTTTTTCTTTGTTTGTGGGGCTAGTGCTATGTCTATTGCTGTTTTGATGGATTCTGTTAGGTGTATTATGCCTGAGATCAAGTCGTTTGTGTTTGAGTACTTTCTATTTAGTTTTAGAATTTTATCAATGTTTTCTTTGAAGATTGTTCATTTTATTGGTCGATCTATTAGCTTATTTATTTATCTCAGTATTAACTGTTGATAGGGGTCCCATCGTTCTCGGGAAAAGAATTCAACAGTCTTCAGACTATTGAGTAAAAATAGTCATGCCACCCATGAATTACATTACCATTGTCAGGGACCGACTAGGTTAATATTTTAAGCCGGGAATTTTTTTTGCCAGGCCAAAAATTAACAGGGGACCAACGATTTGATCATAAGTAGGGCTCGGAACTTCATGTACTTATGCGCTTAAAAAGTATAAATATGCTCAAAAAATATGCACTTATATTTTATTTTTGTACGTAAAATTTTCATTTACACAAATATTTTATAAAATTATAAATATAGAAAATGCAAAGTAATAAAAATAATTTTAATTTTTAATCTTAATTTAAAATAATAATAATAATAAAATAGCATTAAAAATGTTTCTTGAATAAAAAAAATGCACTTGTAGAATGTTCAATAATCATAGAGTTATTTTCCTAGAAAAGTATTTATAGAAAATAATTGTATTTCGATAGCAGCTGTTCCCATTTGATATTTGTATAATATTTTATTTTAGATAAAGCTAGCTGTAGTTATAATTTACAAATATATATATGAATATTAGCTGACACGACAAACGCTGTTTTGTCATATAAATTATTTCTAGAGAATATTTTGTTAGAAAAAATTAACTAATTTAATATAGGCGTGTAAGAATGTGGTTAGATGATTTTTTTGTTTTTAGAAAAAAAATTCAGAAAAAAATTGAATATATTATAATATAATACAATACATTTTTTTCATTTTTTTGTTTATTAAAAAATTTCAGTTGGTGCAATGACACCCATTGGCCCCTCTCTGCGGGCGCCCCTGATATCAACCATTAATTGTTGACAAAACTCACGACATCGTACAATAACGTTGTCCTGATCGCATCTAATCATCACCGATATGCATAACAATCCTTCGAACTAACATTCTTGTTTGTTTTGGCACCTGTTGCGGGATCTTGTTGTTTAGTATTTATGCAATACCCGTAATTTAATACCAAAAATAAAATTAATAGCTTTTAAATAGTTTTTAATAGTTTTTTAATAGTTTTTTAATTTATAATTTAATAATTAATTTTCAATTGCGCAGTTATTTTTTTCAACACACTTTTTGTGTAAATGTAGATCATTTCATAAAAATTATAGTATAAAACGAATAACAATAATTTTGTTAACAAAAGTGTTCTTTATTTTAACACAATATTATATGGATTACCACAGCTAATTATTCAATAATCAATTATATAATACAACTGATCAAAATTTATAGAATGCATTTGCACACCCTTGCATCCCATAAATGACGCCACCGAATAAAGCTCAATTAGAAAATTACTTACAACCCTTTTTTCTTTTTTATATTTTTCATACGTTGACGTATAGCTTTATTTCTGACTGACCTTTTTTTTGTACGGAATTGTTTGGGTAACATTTTAATATTTATCACAGAATAAAATACAAAATGGAACAAATTTCAACAAACAATAACAATAACAAATAAACAATAACAATTAAACAATGTCGAATGTTGGCTGTCCAAGCACTAGAAATGTAGTATTATAGTGCGCGTTATCCGACGTGACGCAATAGTAAATTACAGTGAAACCTCTGAATAGCGGACACTCTCGGTCACCAAAATGTTGTCCGTTATTCGGAGGTGTCCGTTATTTAGAGGGGATACATTTTTGAAATTTATTTGTATAATAATCTACTATGTATGTATATGTATGTACATATAATGATATTACTTATTATTTATTATAAATTGTTACATTTCTATATTTTTACAAATTATGTACATATTATTATTTAAAGTATATTTACAATCAAAATCAAAATTATGAACATGTATTTTTAAATTATTTTTGTTTGAAAAATTCCATGAGCTTTGTCTGTTTATAATTACACCGTCTCTGTACAATCTCATTGGTAATATCATTTGCTAATGTTACAGCAGAAGTAAAAATATAACTGCTCTTTACCTCTATTGATGAAATAAAATTACTCACGCTCTTTACAGCAGACAAAGCATCCTGTAAACTTGATATTTTGACGTTTCTGCTTCTTCGGGCTCGTCTTCTTCCTCATTTCCGGGCTCATCGGTGCCCGTTAAATTGGTGTCGTGGGTGGATATGAATTTGTCTAATTCAAAATACGTCTTTACTTCAACACTGTTGTCGATCAGTGTGACGAGAGCTAAAAGTTCTTCATCTATTACCGATTGTTCTCCAGTATCAATTGTTTGTCCTAATTGTTCATCGTCTTGGTGACTAAAACCACATCATAAGAAGCATTTTTTTACAGTTTCAGGCTTGACTTGGGCTTGAGCAGAAGCCACCCAATACACAGCATCCAAAACATTTATAGTGCTAGAGTCTCCAGATCCAAATCAGCAACTGCTTTTTGTAACAGTTGCTTACGATAGAGCTTTTTAAATTGTTGAATTATGCCTTGGTCCAGAGGTTGACAGTGAGACGTCATATTTGGGGGAAAAAAGACTAGCTCAACATTTTGTAGTTTAAGATGGGGATGAGGAGCTGCATTGTCGACAAAAAGTAGTACTTTTCTTCGATTTTTTATCATTTGTTTATCAAATTTCATAAGCCAGTCTGTCATAATCTGTGTCGTCATCCAGACCTTTTTATTCCAACACCAGTCAACGGGAAATTTATTTACGTCTAATTTTTTGAAAGCTCGCGGTCGTTTTGCCTTACCTAGGACGAGAGGACGTTCAAACTCACCAATCATATTACAGCACAATAGCACAGTCAATCGTTCTTTTGAAACTTTTCCACCGCTGCAAGTTTCATTTTTAAATGCCATAGTTTTATTAAGTAGAACTTTAAAAAAAAGTCCAGTCTCGTCGGCATTGAAGATGTCTCGATTTTCATATTTATCGATTATGTTTGGTAACTTTTTCTTCCAGTCATCAACAGCTATTCTATCAACGGCTGAAGCTTTGCCACAAACAGATTTATACGAAATGTTATGCCGTTTTCGAAATTTTTCAAGCCACCCGTTTGAAGCTTTAAAATCATTTAATCCGTGAACTTCAGCAAGTTGTTTAGCCTTTTCCTGTATTGTTGGTCCGGAAACTGGTATATTTTTTTCCCGAGTTTTGCTAAACCAGACCAAAAGTTCTTTATCAATCACACTGCCTTCACATTTTCTTAATTTCGTTAATTTTCGTTCTTCATTTCCATTTTCGACCCACACTTTATAAATTTCTTCTGTGTTAGACACAATATCGGCAATCTGTGTTTTTCCAACTTGAAACTTTTCTGTGAGTGCACGAATTCCTATGTTTCCGTTTTTTTTTATCTAAAATGTCAATTTTTTCGCGAAGCGACAACCGCTTTCGTTTTAACGTAAGTCGTCATCGCATCGAAAACCGTCACTAACTCCCATACTTTTGTCATAACCTTTTTCACATAAAGCCGCGTACACACGAGCGCGCCGAACCTGTAATGCAACGTTGCATGCGCGTTCCACGCGCGGCGCAAAGTAATTTTTAATTCACAACAAACACGCGCTGCGCCAACGATCCGCTGCCAACGAGCGCAGTTTGCCGCGAACATTTTCATGCATAGTTCAGACGTTCGGAGTCGTACCGTGTGACTGACCATAGTCGTTTTAATTAAGTAATTTTAAATTTAATTATTTTAATATAAATAATGGAGGCTGAAGAAGCTTTACTAGTTTGTAGTGCAGCAATAATTGTTTTGGGAAGTGCTGTACCAAAAAAAAGGGGTCGTAAACGAAGATGGTGGCACACTGAGTTATTTAAAAAACGTTGTGGAAATGAACTTTTAATGGATTTAAAATTTCAAGAAATCAGTGGGCAATAGTATACAAATACGAGTACTAGTAATAAGTAAGTTACGAGTTACGACAATGTACTAGTGTCAAATCACGTTGTCAAAGCGGTATGCGCGTTTCAACGATGATAAAAACAATATAAACACGTACACACTGCGCCGAACATTTCCTTTGTGTTCGTTTGAAAAACCGACAAAAATTGGTTTTCTCCGCGCGGTTGCAGTAACATCGCGCGCGTGTTTCAAATACTGTCTACACGAACGAGCGTGCCGCGCGTGCAACGTTGCATTACAGGTTCGGCGCGCTCGTGTGTACGCGGCTTAACGGTTTCACCGATAATCGAATTTGTCGTAATCTTATCTTCCCATAAAGAGTTTGTTATCGTGATTACATTATTACGAGAATAAATACGAATGTGAATACGTATTATTTTCAAATAAAGATTAGGGATTTACCATAAATAATGTCCGTTATTCGGAGAGTCCGCTATTCAGAGATTTTTCAATGAAAAAGTAGTGAAAATGTCCCCGTTCCCCAAAAAACGTCCGCTATTGGGAGGTGTCCGTTAGTGGAGGTTTTACTGTATATCAAATAATATTAATTTCTATAGTATCTGATTATACTATTATTGGCAGTAGCAATTCACCAAAATTAAACTGTTTCATATCGAAGCTATTTCTGGAAATTATTACGGGCGCGCTGATTACCGATAACCATTGTGCGCGGCGCGGCACGGCCCAAACCCGGGTAAATTTAATTACAGTCTATCGTGGTCGGGAATCGTATTCGATGTTGCAACGACCGTACACTGTTTTAAATAATAGGTCGAAAGGAATGCGCAGCGGAGTAATTGTTGTTATGAAAATATTCCATTCGAAGAATTTATATTTTCCTTTCATCCTGAAAATGTTTTATTCCTAGAATTAATGTGACTAAAACCCATTGTACTCATAATCACACAGCAAGTATGCTTTAGTCCTTTGTAAATACAGACGCTGCGCGCGTATACATACATATACAAATTACGCAATTGTACATTTTATAGTAGTACTGCGTAACGTTCTATTTCGGCAAATATTAATTATTAATGTTATCCCCCTCCTCCTTTTTCTTCTTCTTCTCCATCGCCTTTCTCCCAACTATTAGGGGTCGGCAGCAAATAGATACCTACGTATTTAATATATTACTAATGTTATAACTTGTAAAAATACATATTAACCAAATGCAAGTAAACGTACCGTCCATCCACAACGTTTTCGCAAAATCGAGTTGAAACCATGATTTATTGTTATCTACTTGTATATTATATATATACAATCATCTCAATTTCTCTTACTCCCTCCACTCACTTACGTACCATCAAAAAACACCCCTCTACCTGTTGCTGTCAGTTTCCTATAATATATCCAAACCAAGAAGCGTAGAAGGACTGGCTGTTGATTTATCTCAACTCAATTAATGCTCGTTGTCTGATATATTATTTTGGTATACGAGCCTCGACGACTACGGCTACGACACTAATCTCATAGGTACCTAGCTATCGATCGGATTACCTTAATAACTATAGCCTACGACGTAGATCTTACGTAATCAGACTACTTTACTCGTGCCATGCATTATTATATGCTATAGATTTTGGCCACATCGCAGCAAGTATTAGTTTATTAAATTCATCATTAAGTCTCAATTTGTTTTATATATTTTTTCAATCCTCCTATACAATAACAAATATGTGTTACTAACATAACATAGTTTTTGTAGTATTAATGTTACGCGTCGTTCGTTTGTTATGGAAAATATAAAGAAAGTTCTGATTGTTCAATGCAATAAGTTTACAGGTATGACAGTTACAATAATCTATATGTATGTTTATTGAATTGATAACAAATAAATATAATTTTTCAAATAATTTTCATTATTAAAGTTTTTACTTGTGGATCATTTTTTAGATAGTATATCTACTATAATACAGGCTCATATGCAGGATTTCAGAATGGGAAGTGTTAAAAAAAAAAAAAAAATGTATAAAATAGATTCATCGATGATTAAATAGTATTATTCAAGTACTTATATAATTTTTTTAAGTATATTAAAAACGTTTATATCGATATAATATTATAAAATTCAAATCATTGTTGTAGTAAATTTACAAATACAATTGTAATTTATTTACAAAAATACAATTTATATTTCTTAGGTAATGATGGGAGGTTGGGGGTTGACTCAGTCATACCATAGTATAAGACTTATAAGCCCCCCAAATTTCAAACTCTTATTGCACCTAATACCTTGAAAAATAATACTACTATTAGTAACATTTGAAAATGCGCAGTAGCTTATAAAGAATATTTCTACCGTTTCATGATGGAATAAAATGTTACTAACTTCCTACTGTACCTCAAATAAAATGGCTGATTGATTTCATTATTGTCCTATACTGCCCAATTTGTTATCAGTGTCCATTCTGTTTTATTTTGTGTTAGCTCCTACAACTTCCGAGCCTTAGTCATAAGATATTTTAAAAATTTTCACATTTCAATTAGTAGGTATCAAAATTACATCGCGTTTGCGTTCTACATTTTAGTTAATAGATTCGATAGGTGCAATGAAATATTATTATTATTATTATTATCTTAGAAAATTGATATACACGATTATTTGCATTTGGTTTGCACAATTTCACTAGGAACCACTGGTTGTTGATGAATGATGGCCGAGAAGACGAGTGGATCAAATCCACCCTGATCCATGCACATTATTATCAATTCTCCGTTATCATTACAACATATAACATTTTTCGGTTGATTCTCTTATCATTTTACTACATATATTATCTGTATTATGTGTATTATGTATATGAAGAAATTAATTACGGCAAGTAAAACTATGGGTCTAGCAGTAAATGCGGAAAAGAAAAAATATATGGTAGTAATAAGAGGATCAGAAGATAGCTCCAAACTTAAAGTAAGAAATAATGAATTCGAACAAGTTAAAGAATTTAAGTACCTAGGAGTAATTCTTAACAACAAAAATATTATGCATGAAGAAGTAAATGTGAGACTGAATGCAGTAAATCGATGTTATTTCGCAATGGAGACCCTCTTTAAGAGGACGCCGTACCAGCATAAAACACGGTACTAAAACATGTTCACGTGTAGTGAGTCGGTTGAACCAGCGTAGTATTAAAATAATAAAAAGAAATAGGCTAAACTGCTAATAAAGTGCCCGTTTCAGCTTGTTAGTTTTGATCTCCTATACACCACTATTTATATATGAACTGTGGTATATCTATTTATATTTACTTCGTGTAGGAAATTTTGAATTGGAAGACCCAAACATAAATTATCATTTGTATGTTATCATGCAGCGCTTGTATCGTGCAGATTACGAATAAAATTGATTTAATTGCGTTCCATGTTTTTTTTATCGTGGAATATTTTTATTTTGTCTTTTAATTTTTTTTTTAAAAATGGGGAATAAGACGCGTCTAGTGAAATGTTCAAACAGAAAAAAAATAAGCCGCTGTCTTGTGTTAAATCGATACAACAAGCCCCCAACGTGTTATACGTATTACTTTTATTCAAGTGATCAACCATATAATTTAATTTCACAATTTTTTTTCTCCAATATATTTATAATCAATTTAAAATAGTTCTCGTATCCAAAATTTTAAGTAATATATTTTTATAAAAAATCAATATATTATTATATATATATCCAGTCCCAGTGATTTATTTTTCAACTATTTTAGCCACGAAGAGGAAAATTGCAGTAGTTCACCACAACAAGAATATCTCAAATCTTATTTATAACTCAAAAAGTAAAAATGTGTTAAACATGGTTTAAAATATATTATAATAATGATTTTATAATCTACATGTTGGTGAAGACAATTAGGCTAGCAGTAACTATACATTTTAGCCAAGTATGCGCGGGCAGCGAATATTAAAAATATTGTGACAGAGTATGATGTACTATGCACATATGCGAGTAAATGCATTTTATAGTACTCATTACTTGATGAAGGTTCATGAAATAATAATTTGCGCTCTCAAACTAGAGCACGTCAGATCGGCGCGCGGTCGCCGGTTACGAATGATGGGCGTGTCGACGTATGCACCGCGTGCATGCGCTTCTTGAAAACACCTTATAGCGCGTTCTATCGGTCGTTGTATACGTTTTACTTTTGGTGTGGCGTCTTCTTAAATCAAAAACGCTATCAAAAAAGTCAAAGAAAAACTTTATATAAGCTACATAAGACCAGTACTGACTTATGCATGTGCCACATAGTCCACAACCAAAGGTGACGAAGAGAAACTAAGAAGATTCGAAAAAAAATCCTAAGAAGAATATATGGTCCAGTATTTAATACCGAAACTCAACAATGGAAACTGAGATCGAATATCCAATTAGAACATTAAATCCCACAAATTGGTGACCTCGACGTGATGGCGGAGACAGACGCAATGATTGCTCGAGTGGCCGTTAAAATACCGGATTTCATTTCGTCAGATCCCGAACTTTGATTTGCTATGGTCGAATGTAGTTTCACCAGCGCGGGAGTTACAGCTGACAGCACGAAATTCGGGTATGTGGTTGGAGCATTACCGCCGAAATATGCAGTTGAAGTCAAAGACATAATTATGACGCCGCCCTCGGACAGTAAATATGTCAAAATTAAAGATGAATTAATAAAACGTCTTAGCGCCTCCCAAGAGGAATAAACACGTCAACTTCTGGAGCGCGTTGAGATTGGTGACCGTAAACCGTCACAATTTTTACGCCACCTCCAAAACTTGGCTGATTCTTCCGTTCCGGAAACATTATTAAAGACACTTTGGATGGGCCGCCTACCAAAAAGTATACAAGTGGCGTTAGCAATAGTTAAAGATAGTAAGCTTGAAGAACTCGCTGTCCATGCAGACAACATCGCGAATGCATCTGGTTCTTTGCTACTTCAAATAGTAGAGACATCGAGAAGTGACACTCTTGAAGCCATGTTGAATCTTAAAATTTCTCAGCTTACCTTGAGTATAAATCAGGAAATTGCGACGTTGAAAAGTGAAGTGGTAGCGATCAATACTCGTCCCTCGCGTAATCCGGACTCAAGACCAAGTACTTACCGCTCAAGATCTCGATCTCGGAGCCGTACTCTCCATGGTGCAAATGGATTATGCTGGTATCATTGGCGTTATGGATCACAATCGCGAAAATGCAAAGAACCTTGTACCTATAATTCGGGGAAACGTGACTGGTCATCAATGACGACGGCCAGTGAGACTAGTCCGTCCCCGCGTCGTCTATTCATTACTGATCGAACTTCTCAAACTCAATTTCTCATCGACACGGGTGCCGACCTATGTGTTTATCCACGTAGTGCTGTTCCAGACCGATGAGTAAAATCCGATTACGTCCTATCAGCAGCCAATGGCACGCCTATTAACACCTACGGTACTATCACGCTCAGCCTCAACTTCGGACTTCGTCGAGATTTCACTTGGAGACTTGTGATCGCGGAAGTATCCAAACCCATCATTGGTGTGGACTTCTTGAGTCATTACAATCTATTGGTAGACGTGCGTAATCAATGTCTTTTAGACGGTGTTACACGACTCACCGCTCATGGTCACGCTGCTGAATCCTCCATACCATCCATAAAGATTGTCGTGGGAGAAACGAAATACTGTTTACTACGGAAATTTCCTGAGATCACTCGACCATATGGAGCGCCTAAAGACATTAGGCACAGCACCAAACACTATATTCAAACGACACCAGGACTCCCAGTATCTTGTAAATCACGACGCTTAGCACCTGATAAGCTCAAGGCAGCAAAAAAGGAGTTTGAAGCTGTGATCCAATTAGGCATTATTCGACCGTCCCAGGGACCTTGGGCATCATCATTACACTTAGTATCAAAGAACACAACGGACGCCTGGTGTCCTTGTGGGGATTACCGTGCTTTAAGTGCTCGGACTATTCCAGATCGGTACCCAGTTCGTCATATTCAGGACTTTGTACACTTTCTCCACGGTAAAACGATTTTTTCAACAATCGACCTAGTCCGAGTATATAATCAAATTCCTGTAGCTGAAGAAGATATTCCTAAAACCGAAATCGTGACACCATTTGGACTTTACGAATTCCTCTTTATGTCTTTTGGACTTCGAAATGCAGCACAATCGTTTCAACGAAGTACTTTTTGGACTTGATTTCTGTTACAGCTACATTGACGACATATTGGTGGCATCTGTTTCTGAGGAAGAGCACATCAAACATTTACAGATCATTTTTGAGCATCTACGCGAATACTCTCTGGTTGTCAATCCAAAAAAATGCGTTTTTGGACAGTCAGAAGTAAATTTTTTAGGCTACATGATTTCTAGAGAAGGAACACGTCCTCTTCCCGACAGAGTCACTGAAATTTTGAGCTACAAGAGGCCATCGTCAGCTAAGGGTCTACGACAGTTCTTGGGTATGATAAACTTCTATCGTCGTTTTATACCTGGAGCTTCAGACGCACAAGCACCACTAAGTGATCTTTTGGTACCCAATTTAAAACGTAAGTCACCTATTAACTGGACACCAGAGGCTATTTCGGCTTTTGAAAAATGCAAGGAGAAACTCGCCACAGCCACGCTTCTCGCACATCCATGCGACAACGCTCAACTGGCTATTGTAAGTGATGCTTCAAACACCGCAGTTGGCGCAACTCTCCAACAGTTCATCAATAATGAGTGGCAACCTCTTGCCTTCTTTTTCAAGAAGCTCACAGCGACCGAGACGAAATACGGAGCCTACGATCGAGAACTTCTCGCGATCTACCTTGCTGTCAAGCATTTTCAGTATATGGTGGAAGGACGCGATTTGGTTATATTCACTGATCACAAACCCATCACTTTTGCATTTCAGCAGAAATCGGATAAATGCACGCCACGAAAATTCAGACACCTAGACTTTATCTCACAATTCACCATGGATATTAGGTAAGTTCCAGGTAAGCAGAATATCGTGGCTGATACCTTATCTCGCGTTGACGCCTTGTCAGAGACAATAGACTACACTGCATTAGCGATATCACAACAGGGAGACGATGAATTAAAAAAATACGAAAAAGAAAACACTGGACAACAACTCAAGCAAGTTCAATTACCAGGTACAAATGTCTTAGTGTTCTGTGACGTATCAACTTCAACCGCCAGGCCTTTTGTCACAAAGCCATTCCGACGTAAAGTTTTCAATAATATACATCGCCTTGCACATTCAGGTGTCAAGGCCACGACGAAGCTTGTTAAACAGCGATTCGTGTGGCCAGCAATTGACGCAGATTGCAGACATTGGACGAGGGCATGTGTAGAATGTCAACGAGCCAAAATCACGCGTCATGTCACAGCACCTCTTAGTTCATTTTCTTTACCGTCTCAAAGATTTGAACATGTTCATTTAGATCTAATCATTATGCCTTATTCTGAAGGATTTCGCTATCGCCTCACGTGTATCGATAGATTTACTCGATGGCCTGAGGTAATTCCATTGGAAGATCAAGAAGCGACAACCGTAACACGAGCTTTCTATACGCATTGGATCGCAAGATTTGGTACCCCTCTTCGTATCACAACAGACCAGGGAAGACAATTTGAGTCATGCCTTTTCAAGCAACTTAATAACTTGAATGGCACGAACCATCTTAGAACCACGGCCTATCATCCGTCAGCAAATGGCATGGTGGAACGAAGTCATCGGCAGCTTTAAGCCGCCGTTATATGTCATCAAAATAATCGATGGACAGAAACTCTTCCGACAGTCTTATTGGGCATCCGAGCAGCTTGGCGCGACGATCTTAAATCCACCTATGCAGAATTAGTCTATGGAGAGCCACTTAGACTCTCTGGTGAATTACTAACGTCAAAAGATAATGCTGCCAAGTTCGACGACGCAGCTGAGTTTATCAAAGATCTTCGACATCACATTCAGCAGATCCGACCTGTCAATGGTACACGACATGGTGAGAAGAAAAACTTTGTTTTCAAGGTATACTACAGAGTATGTATTCATTCGACATGACGGACCCAAAAATGCCCTATGATGGTCCCTATAGAGTCATAAGTCGAAATAAAAAAACTTTTGTCATTGATATAAAGAAGAAAAAAGTTAGAGTAACTATTGATAGACTTAAACCAGCCTACATCATAGTAGACGACCATTCTAAGGAAGATATTTCGAGAGAAATTCAGACATCTACACCGAATTTACAAAGCAGGATCAAAGGACACGTTCCGGAAGAAGAGTTCGTTTTCCAGACCGTCTTGAAGTAGGTTATGCTTGACTCAATCACTGGTAGGGGAGTGATGTGGTGACGTAAACAACGCACCGCAAATCGTCCAAGTTGTTTACAATATTGTCAGTGGATAAGAGGAAATCCCATGTTCTAGAATATGCGATGATTATCTCGTTAAGGTAATTTCGAGAATGTTCTAGACAATCGACGCCGATATATATATACCGGCTGGTCAGACGCTCATTCAGTCAGTCCATGAGTACAATCCGCGACACACCGTGAATTACACTCCGCAATATATTCGGCAATTCCTCCGCAATTGTAACGCGTATCGATATTTGTACATACATATTTATATAATATAGTGTCTATTTTAATTAAATTAAATTGTGAGTGATTTTTATTACTTAAATCCCACACATTTATACATTTTATAAATATTGTGCAATTTAATAAAAGTATAAGAATGCAATGGGCCGGACATGCGTGGCGAGCAGACGGATGCCTAATAAAAGGAGTAATGATTTGGACGTTAGCGGGGAGGAGACCAAGGGGAAGACCACGAAGAAGATGGATAGACAGTATAAATGAGATATGGAATGCGGCAGCCCATGGTGGGGCGGATTGGCGAGTAATAGCGTATGATAGAGAGAAATGGGAGGAGGTAGTTTTGGCGGTAAAGATTCTCGATAGATCGTAAAGTCGGAAAAAAAAATGTGTATTATGTACAAAAATAATTATTATTGCTGTGTGATATAACCACAGATTATACGAATAATATATAATATTATAGACATTATAATGTATTATTATAAAATATTGTATATAATATATATCTTACGGTATAATATATATCTTTATGTATATAATATATATTACATCTTACGGTGGTGGTGGCAATAGTGATGAACAAGTTCCTTGATTAGTTGCAAATGGATAAAAAAAGTTAACTACCTTTTTGTATTTAATTAATTCTAATGACAAAAATAACAAGATTTAGATAGGTACTTTGAAATGTATTCGATTTATGTTTATTTTTTCAAGAAAATACTGATATCTACTACTAAGTATTTGTTTGTATGAGGGGTTCACGAAAAAAGTGTACAATGTAAAAACATTTCAATTACTACTTGGGCTTGAAAGTCAATGTCCCGAAAAATATGTATTAATTATTCAAATTCCTAGATAAATAATACTTTTTCTAATTAATTTTAATGTATCTTAGTTTATAAGTAAATCAAATAATAAATCAAATGATCAAATTAATAGTATAATTCTATTTTTATGAAAGAGTTAGCTTTTATTTATTTTTATTACATATGTATATGGCAACAGTTTTCACTATTTTGTTTTGTTTTTTTATCCATATTGCACAATAAAAAGTTAGTAATTATATAAAATAGTACTAAACGGTAACACAACAATAATAATTATTTTTTGTACATAATACAATTAATATAGTAAAATTATAAGAGCATCAACCGAAAAATGTTATACGATATGGTGATAACGGAGAATTGATAATAATGTGCATGGATCAGGCTGGTTTTGATTCGCTAGTCCGAGAAGGGACTCTTCAGAAAGTTTTTTGGTGCGTTTCTCGCTGTAGAGCTAATGTAATATTTACCACGATCTAGTAGTGTAAAGATTAACTATTATATTTATTGAATGTAAAAAAAAAAATAACAGCTGTTTTAACATTGTTGCAAGAAGGACAATGTGATAATGAAAATATAAATCCGTGATAATAGAATGTAGATATTGGAACGAATTGTAATAGATATTGCAATTTATTATTTCATGTTACGTTCGAGATTTGTATGAAATTTGTACAGCCATGTTGTCCAAACAATTGTGGAGATCGTTTAACGGGAGGAGCGGAGTCGTAGCAAATTTATTGAAGCACAAGTAACGTTATTGTTTAATTTTAATTTTATTTTGTTCATTAACTCCAACTGTTGCCATCAATTCATATATGTTGTTGGTTTTTAGTAAAAACAAAATGCCCTTACCGTCCATCTGTACTCGAAATTATTCCCCCAAATCAAACTCTCAACTGGATGATGAATTGTTGAACAAGCCTCTGAAATATACAACTAGTCCAGCTAACAAATGGAAGGCAGAGCATTCTCGAATCGGAAGCAAAGCAGAATTTGGTCCATGGTACGAACCTCATATTGTTAGTGCAAGTGTAATTTTGTTCATGCTTTATTTCTTTGTACTAAGAGAAGAAAACGATATTGATATGATGTTAGATAAACCATTGACCGATATATTAAAAAATGAATAAATATTTGATTATTGTTTTAGAATTGCATTAGGCATAAATATTTATTACACTTTTAATTAGTTTATTAATAACTAATGTGTAAAAATATGTTCAGAAATACATTTGTACATTTAAATTTTTTAAATACTTGATTAATAAAAAATAATATGAAATGTAATATACATTTATATTAAACTTTAATAACTCTGTTTTTTAAGATTAATTAGTTTTCATTGTGAAAGCTTAATAAAATGGACTTGTTTAAATAAAATGCATAGTAATTTAGCGAGGAACCATGAAACTCTTATAATAATATATAAATAGAAAATATATTGTGTCTTGAATTTTAAACTTCTTAATAGTAAACTGTGAACCTAAATTATCTAAAGTCTTAACCCAAGACTGTTAATTGTTGTTGATTTTTAGTGAGTAGATATAACAGTTTTTGCCAAGACTTGGTCACTATTAATCTGAATGGTTTATTGATGGATTAGGTTCTACTATGTTTTTAAAATGTATGCAATGCAGTTTTTAAAGAAAAGTATTGATAATATGAAAAATGTATATGAGTGTTTAGGTACATGTGTTTATATGTGTATCAAAATTTTTCATCAATATATATATATATTAGGGTGGTCCTTATTTATGAACTTCATTAATGTTATGTCATGGGCTCGAAATTTTGTTTGGTATATTGACA